CACACACCACAGATACGTGCGTTGTTGCAATTTGGACGCGACGAGCGCGAAATTTTTTCCAAATACGAAGCAGCTGGCCTGCTCGGTTTCATTCGATTAACAGAAATGACTTTTCCGCATATTACACATTTTATTTTCGTATTTCCACATTCTGAGTAACACCATAAAAGTGTTAGAACGACAAACGAAACGATAGCGCGATACATGTTCGAATTCGAATTTTGCAGCCATGCACGCTTTCGAGAGAGAGGGCTTTCCCTGAGGCGAGCCAGCAATAATGAATTCACGGTCAGCGTCGACGCGCATGGTCGCGCAGAATACTCCCCTGTTCTGCAGCGCATACTCTTTACAGGCTGTCTATATGACAAATATTCACCAGCTTTACCAATCGCTATAGACGTCAACGTATGATACTCTGGTTTAGCCACCTTCAAGCACAAAACAATTTGAGCCAATGCTCCGGCGAAATATTAGAACAATTAAGATTACATTATTGTTTCCCCTGGAGCATCGACTCGAGATGTTTTGTGCTTGACAACTCTATCAGAATATCGAATTCGGCTATYACACTTGACTAGTGTGAKCAAGACCTATGTTTATTTTCTCCGTATTTTYATTTTTAGCTTTACCTCGTATCAACTACCTGACCTCACACCTTTATGGCAAACAAGGAGATTCAATAACATTAAAATGTAATGCCTCTGGATATCCAGCACCTCGTGTTACATGGATACACAAGGATACAAACAGAACAATTGCTAATTCCAGTGTGACGTCATTCAACATTACTGGTAAAGCATCAGGAGGAAAGTATTGCTGTCACGTGTCAAACGGTTTCGGGAATAAGACTAATTGCACGTCCCTTGAAGTGATAGGTAAACGACTTTACATAAACTTACATATTTCCTTCCTTCTTTCCTTCATTTTTATCATTGTTTTATTTTTTTCTGTCGAGGGGAATAACCTAGACAGGAAAGTKGGAAAATCAGTCAGCTCACAGACTTGTTAACCTTGATTTCCATAATATGTAAATATTTAATACAAAGCTCAAGTGATAACCTCAGCTATATGAGTTTTTTTGCGTTAAATGACATTTTATTTACAGTTTTCAAATTAATATTTGGATATATCTTGATGTGCTAAATAAATGTTCTGGGAGTTCCAAATCGAAAAAAAAAAGGTTATGCCCTTTAGAAAAGAGCAGAGGCCAGTTACCAAATGCCTAGAGCTGTTTACGTAAGACGTTGAAAAAACGTAATTTACGGCATGGACCGCCGTGCCCCGCCGTAACCGYGCCATGTGTCGTTACCTTTCACACTACTACTGTTACTGCTACTTTCACACTGCTACTGTAACTTGCATTTATTTTTATTAACTTTTTTTATTAACTTTTTTTAATTTATTTATTCTTTTTGAGCCCGAGAAAGACTGAAAAAAGTCAAGTAATCAAGATATGATTTTTTTTTTCACACAAGAATATACTGATATTGAGAAAAAATCGTCCAACTTTAAAAAGCAGTTAAACCAATTGGCCAGCAAAAGCAAAATCTTTCTTACATTTAATATTTCTTATTTTCGTAGTTTTACCTCGAATCAACAATCTAACCTCACACCTTTATGGCAAACAAGGAGATTTAAAAACAATAAGATGTAATGCCTCTGGACATCCAGCACCTCGTGTTACATGGACACACAAGGATACGAATAGAACAATAGCTAATTTCAGTGTGACGTCAATCAACATTACTGGTAAAGAATCAGGAGGAGAGTATTGCTGTCACGTGTCAAACGGTTTTGGGAATGAGAACAATTGCACGTCCCTCGAAGTAATAGGTAAACGGCTTTACATAAACTTAAATATTTTCTTTCATTTTTCTTTCTTTCTTTCTTTCGTACAATGGTACGCCCAAGGTACCAACCCACCAACCAACCATTAAAAAATCCGGATTTAAGGAGTGGGAAAAGTCCAGGCCATGAATTTCCATTGTCAACCCGAACGGTATCGATGATGAAATATGTATGTTAGATAGACAAAGACATAGCATATTAGTATAGTAAACAGGGAGCAAGATAGAATAAACTGGACCGGTCGAAAAGGTAAAGATCGTACCCTTTCAGTCTAGTTTAAATGACCATTTGGGTTTACAAGTAGTAAGGGATAAACGCCCTGGTTATATGTCCTAAAATGTGTCCAAACATAGCTAATATTTGTTGGGTCAAATGCTTAGATTGATATTTTGCATTGTCTGCCAACGATGTTGGATCAAAACATAGATAGAAGCTGACTGTGCTACAAATGTTGGGTAACGTCAAATGCCGTGTTAAATGCTAGCTGAATTTTGGGTCAGGAATCATTTCA